AGACCAAATAGCACTCGCACCGGTGATGATCGTCAGAAATCTCAAATCTCGGTCCGGCGTGATAAATGATGATGCGGAACCTGACCTGAGCTCTGATGATCGATCAGGCACTGACTGGGCTTGGCTTTTTTGTGAAGGAACATAAGGAAGAAAAAAAGTGACCACCGCAGGGCTCGAACCTGCAATCTCCTGATTAATACGCAGTCGTAGTCAGACGCGATACCATTTCGCCAGGCGGCCATGTTTAGACGTCCAAAACCGTTTATACACAGGTTGCAGCCTGAGGATGGATCTCTAGGAGCTTGTCCCTTGACTGCACGACGGATTCACATGAAAAGGATGATTGTCCTAATTACCTAGCTAATCCACAAGCTGTGAGCTGGCAGTACGAGCTTCTAGTACTACCTATAATGTCGGCCATCCGATCATCACGGAGTGGGCGAGCCAAGAGGCGCAACTCCTCGGACAAGCTGGATATCTCACTGTACCTCGGCGTTCTATTCGAATATGAGCACTAGCTTTCATCACTTGTTCAAACGTGCTAGCTATTACTGTACACGCCTCAACATACAACCAAGAGCCTTTCAAACCCTACACCCTCGCCCAAAACCACCCGTTTCAGTCTCATCTACCCAGCCGACGCGTCTAAAAACCATGTCTTCACCTAGCCAACGAAAAAAATGACCACCGCAGGGCTCGAACCTGCAATCTCCTGATATGTACCAATCGTAGTCAGACGCGATACCATTTCGCCAGGCGGCCTTGCTCCTATCTCGGCGCTTAGCTGGAAGACGCAGGTATAGTGGGCCGACCGGGCCGGCTCTGAGGCTCTGTGCGCTTTAGGACATTCAGTTTTTGTTAATATGGTGGCTGGAGGCTAAAAAAATCACGTTGAAGATGTTGAAGCACTGTAATGTATTCCGATATTTGCGCGAAATGAGAGTTCCCACGGCTCTTTGATGGTGTTCACGAGCTCTGTTTTTTCAAGGGCTGGATTGTTTGACCCAGCACTTTCAGCATGCCCAGCGCATGAACTGCCACTTTTGGCTTGTCGAGAGTGACCGAGAGATTGACTTTCTGGTAAGTAGCGCGTGTTTTCACCATCGACCTATAGCATATATGTACTATTGCCGAGTAGACACGTCTGATACTGCGCAACCCGACTCCGTGCGATGCAAGCGCTTATTCCATCATGGTAGACGGCCCAATAGAGCTAGTTGAAACGTACTTGTAGTTTTCAACGCACAGGAAAGAGATCACTTCGCCGCGGATCAACTAGCCATGACAGTCGAGGCTAGCGGCTAAACTACTCGTACGAGCAATGAATTACAGTAATTGCGTCATGAGAATACAGTGCTGAATACATCTCGGCATGTGGCGCGTCAATCTAAGTTACAAGAACAAGCGTTTTCCGAGGCAGAGGCAGTGTGAGCACCCCAGGCTCTCCCCAAATCATTAAACTTCGCGAGGCTTGGATAGAGAAATTGCATATGTTAATCCAGATTTGTCTTGCTGAGTGTCCCGCCGATTCAGCTGTCTTGCATATACCATTAAATACGTAATGGGCGGAGCATGAATGGAAAGTTGAGGTAAACACCGCGAGCGGGACAGAGTAGTCATGGAGAACGCTCGATTCGGGGCTGCTGCAGTAAGTCTATTGTCGAGCTAATGATTCAGAGCTCATGAGATTCATGAAACCAATACAGTAGTTGAAATCTACTGACCAATATCCACCAAAACGAATGCTAGAACTGTTCTAACCTTCCCCCAGGAACGAACTGTCCGCACGGAATGCCAGATGCCAAAGATAAAAGACGACGGTATAAAAAGCAAGTAAAGATAACGGTTGCTACTGGGATTGAAGGCTGCGCCGAGTAAGCCGAGTGGGAAAGTAAAGGCGACAACTAACAACAACCACCACATGGAGGAAAAATGCATGTAATATGCGCGCAAGATGCACTTCTGTGGAACTATACACATCGGAATAGTTAAATAATCAAGCTGCAAGACGCAAGATTTGGTAGTGAAGAGTCGTGATTTTGGGGGCAATAATAGTCGAAGCCAAGGAACACGAGGAGAGCGTAGTCGGAGCCAAGCGAAAGGAGATGGGGTGACCTTAATGTGAAACATTGCAGAAAGCGACCATGTCATGCGTGGTAAAGGAGCACTCAGCTCCCAAACTCCTAGTATCAGGACACGAGATAGAAAATAGCAGTTAAAAGACCCAAGTTTATAGTCCGGTGCTCGTTGGGTGATGGAGCGTAAAGTTAGACACAGGTGTTTGAGCTTTGGGGTCCCTCGACATGTCGTTTGGGAGGCACTTGCTGACGGTAAAACCAGGGTGAAATACCATCTGTTGTGTCCCGATGATTCGTTCGTGAGCTCTCGGAACAACCAGTCGTTCTCGTTCGCCATTGACAGGAGCAAGGTAGCAGACTTTTGCCTGACGGGTTCGTAGTCCGAGCGATCAGTGGGGTTTCGTTCTGAGACTTGCACTTGGTACTTGCTATTTCCCTCAGACCCGGCGCCGAGTACGTTCAAGGCAAATGCTCGAATTGCCGCACCGTGTTGACGATCAGTCAAGCCGAGTGTCTCAATTCTCAGCATATACGTGCGATTCTCGTGGCTTATCTCAACGAGGAGATACTGATGGTACAGCGGCCACTTGCTCGTTTCAAGCCAATCAATTCGCGTGATAGAGGCGTTCTGGAGGTTAGGGCGACCCAAAACCATGTTACAGAACAGCTGCGCAGAGAATGTGCCGGTTGGGAATGCCGAAGTACTGATGTTGACCCCAACGTCTACCGGTGCTATATCGAGCGATTAACATTTCAGTTGTATTGACCGCTGAATAGGAGCTTACGACGTAAAAAACTTGCTGGAACCTTGGACAACCGGGCCATAGGGCTATCGGAAGTAAATGCCGCCTCTGGAAACCTAAGAGAGATATCATTGGATGGGGGGGAGCAAGACCGAAACATGCGCTCCATCTGGGACTAGTGATAGTCTCCCAAAGTCAGAGTATTACACGGGGGATGACCAAGGTGGGACTCAAGGTGCTTTGTAATGGTCTGATTCAGGACTGCGGAGTTCTACTATCGTGCAGTATTCGGGCACATCGGCGTATAGTGGATAGAGTGAATCCAAGCACAGGGTCGCGTGCCGGCTTCCTCATATCTCGGGCTTCTCAATCTAACCATGCTACTGTTGTAGTGGGTGGCGCTTCCCGTTTGTTCCCGCTTGGCCCGCCCCTATGCGCGTGCCGATCCGACGCCGCGCCCCTATTCGTCTGGCACTTATAGGCCGCGTCTTTGCATCCGTGCAGGCTCAGCTGTTCGTTTCCTACGTCCACTGAGCCGGTACGTTCGTTCTGTCTTTCTTTCGTTCATACATGTATCTTACCGTTGTACATTAGCTCCGCGCTACGCGCCTCGTCTGTTTAGCTCGACCCGCTTGACGCGGATCTCTACAGCTACTTCAAAACAACTCTTCGCAAAAGTATTTCAAAGTCACTCAAGAGTTTCTCGATAGCTATTATACTTATTTGTCGCGAACACAGGCTCGTTGTATGCGGAAGTGGGAGAATAATACGACATATTAGAACTACAAAATTCCGGTGGTTTTCGAGTGCGCCGGTAGAGCATATAGTGACAACCTAATCCTGATATGCCTTCGCAGGCATCCTGCTAATACAGATTTGTTTGTGCACAGTTTTAAAAACGCGCAGCGAGCGGGGGGGGGGGGGGGTTCACTTTACAGACAAGGCTAAGTTGTGGGCTCAAGGTACTCGTTTGAGTCAGGGTTGTTGG